AATAGCATGCAGACTCATTAGCTTCACTTAATGTGAAGGTGTTTATCAACCCTAAAATGGGTGTCAACTCCATTATACACATAACAGAATATTTAATTTTTGCAAGAAACATGCAAAAATAAAATACAGTAAGAGGCAATGCGGGTGGGAATTCAGAGGTTCCTAATAACCCACACTTTAGACTGTATTGCACCACCATTTAAATGAGAACCTTTAAAATGCGTGCCGAGAGGTATACTACTTAAACATTGTACGCTACTTATAAAAATGGTAGAGAGGGAGAAAGAACTAAGGCTCTGCTTTCCGAGATACATGATCTTGAAATGCGGTAGAAATCTGGAGGTGATATAGGGCTGTATCAGGAGCTGTTGAATAGAAGAATGGAGCTACATACTTTAGATCAAATGTATACCTGGTATAAAAAGGAACAAACCTATTTTTATGAATTAGGGAATACATCTGGTAGGTTATTGGCTAGGTCAATTAAGGATAGACAGACAAAAGCATATATAGTAAAAAAAATCCAAGGCCCTTCAGGGGGGTGGAGCATGTGTCAGAGCACATAGCGGAAGTATATTATTCTGATTTATATCTCCTCTACAGAATCCTCTAATGAGCAAGTTACACAGATGTGCACGATTATATACACATGCAACACATGAGAACTCATTACCATTTCTCGGCAAAGGAGGAGAACTATAAGAGCTTTGGCCTCAGGAGAGAGTTCAGGGCCACGGGATAAGGGGTTAAACGGGTCTATTCTATAAACCTTTACGGGAACCTCCCATTACCCATTTTAAAAGTAGGCCTTTAATTCCATCTCAGAGGAATGCCCTTTCCCAAGACAAGCACAGGAAGTATTACGGTAATCCAAGGAAAATAAGGATAGCAAGTTGTGTGCAAATTATAGACCAATTTCTTTGGTTAAGATTTACACTAAGATCATAGCCAAGCAGCACACATATATCCCTCAATTGATGCATTTGGATCAGGTAGGGTTTGTACCGCTCATGAGACAAGGGATGACACAGTGAAGACCCTTACGCTAATGGGTTATGCACAGAAGTCTAGTTCACCAAATTAGTTGTCGGTAAATCCCGATAAAGCAGTTGATCGTCTGGGGGTGGAGTTATCTTAGCAGTAACTCTTGCGCAGATAGGCATTACAGGTTTGCTTTTGACTAAAATTTTGGCATTACAGAAAGCTCAAACTGCTAGAGGCAAAATTAATGGGATTCCATCATCAAGAACGGTACGCAGCAGTGTTGTCCACCCTCTCCATATTTATACATATTGGCCATGAACATCTGGCAGTGGCCCGTGTATTAACCCCATGATTAAAGGAATTTGTTTTAGGAACCTTCCTCGCTCGGAGGATAGCTTCTCAGTTTTTCGGAAGTCAGTCATTTTAAAGTGATCATGAATAAAACTAAGGCACTTACTGCTTCATTATTGGACAAGGAGGTTGGAGATCTTCAATAGGTTTTTCCATTTGTATTGAAAAAGCGAGCGCAATAAAATATCTGGGGTTCTCCCCGTCAACAAGTAGTGAAGTGTTACGGGACCTTAACGAGAAGCCGTTAAAATCAAAGTACAAAAATAGGGTAAATTCAAATATGCTCGGTTTGGTGGGGTGGCATTGTATTAAAATGGATATTCTCATATCTTCCCAGACAGTACCTATTGACACCATAGATTTTTTTTCATTGGTCATTATATATAGCCTTGATCCAAATCCGCAGTGCGATCGTCCTGCATCCGAAACGCAGACACGTGTCTGCGTTCCAGTGCATCCTGCGAAAATACTGCAAGCACTAGTGGGATGCTTGGCTGCGGTGACATTTACCAATGCACCGCCATGCCCCCTCCTGCCCCTGAATGCAGGGAGCCGGACGGCTTGCGTTTCAGAGGCCAAACACACTGCAGCACAGTTACCAGGGACATGGTGGAAGTGTCCTCAAGTTGGGCCCTTTTGGACAGCAGTGATTGATATCTATGAATGTATGGCAAAAACAAAAAGGTGGGTCCAACACCTCAGTTAGCTTTACTTTCCATTTTTCAGGCAGGGATAGCAGCAGCTTATAGGTCAAATAAATCAGTAGTTCCTCCTACACTGCTGTAATGGATGGAGGTGGTGCATCATTTGCAACTTATGAAGGAATTGAGGGCAAGCATGTAGGATAGATGCACCCACTTTTTGGATATACGGGATAGTTGGATTCAAAATTGTAACAGTTCAAAATGAAAGAAGCAGCTGAAATAGGGCCTGCATGAGTTGTTTGAGTAGAGATAGAGGATGGAGTACGTCTTAGGGTCCCCACACACCTTACGATTATCGTACGATAATCGCGGGAAATCCAGTGATCGTAAGGTGTGTGGAAGCCGTGCGACCTCTACTACTGTAAGGTCGCACGACTTTAAACTTACGGACATGTGCGAAAACCCACTGAGCATCGTACGATATTCGGCGGGTTTGTGGCATGTCCAGACGATAACAGCCGTACGGGCCGGTGTACGCAAGCGCACACTGCCTGTTCGGCATTGCGGTCATCAGAAGCCCGCCCCTCAGGGGGTGTGGCTTGCGATCATCGCAAGTACGATCTGACTATGCAAGATAGGCAGATCGTACGTTTTTTTAAGTACCGTACAACGATCGCAAGACAGTAGTCTTGCGATGGTTGTATGGTTGTAAGGAGTGTGCCCAGCCTTAGTTGTTGGGAGCCCCCTGGTCACAGATGCTATGTCCCATTGAAAATTACATTAAAGTCCATTGAATTTTAACAGTATAATCAGAAGATTACAGATGATCAGATTAAGCTTTTGAAAGTTCTGTAGGCAAAGTAATAAATTATCCAAGTAAAAACCATGCATCAAGAGCACAAAACCATAGGGTATAGTTAAAACCAAAACCACCACATGGTACAACCCAACACCTATGTACATGTTACAACACCAATTAACAGCTCTCACCTTCTACTAAAGTGCTCACTGCCATAAGGGCATCTTCCTGTACACCTCCCGAACCAGCTGTACTCTGAAACATGCGTAGTAGGGAAGCCATCACAACATCAGATATCTGAAGTGCATCTTGGGGCTGCACCTTACGAAGCACATTCTGGAAGACAACGTATATATAAAAAATAAAAAAAACTCAGTGAGATGGACTGAGTTATTCACAATAAATACAAATTTGCCATTCTGTAAGATACTGCTCCTGAACTATGTGACAATATATTTGAACATTTTAACAAAACAGGATTCCAGAATCTAGATTTCCATTCTCCCTTACAGATTAAAGAGAATCGTGTACCTACATACACAAAAGCACCAGGAATAAGTTTCTGCTCCTCCAGGGAGGTGGGGGACAAACAGGAGACTTCAGGCCGCCAAGAAAGCGTACTACATGTCAAAGCTGTCCCTCTCCTAGACAGCCAATAACTTTATAGTATACATGACAATCATAAGGCTTATAACAAACAAGAGCCATAAGCTTAACCCTTCCTGGCAGTATGATTCTCAGTATTAATTTCTCGCCGGTTCAACCCCTCTTCAATGGCGGCGCTCACATGGAAGGAACCCAGAAGACGCCCGAGTGCGGCTCGGGGTTATCGCTTTTGGTACGGAAAATTTACCCCCGAGCCACACTCAGGATTACCGCCAGGAAGGTTAAATTGGCTCTCGCTCTGCGCCATGTTTAGAAGTGATCAGGCAGCTATCCTGCCATCAGAGTCAACGAAAGACTGGTAGGCAAAAATAGCCTCTCCTTATCTAGACTGTGGGTTCATTATTTACAGGTTCAGAGAAACTCTGCACGAAATGGTGCGAGCGTGCTTGGGAGCGTGTTGGCAGAATGCTCAGTAATTAAAAGTCCATAGTGAACATGGAGGTCCTTGGGGGCATGAAGGGGGCCTCAACCCAGTAGAGCTGAAGTAAACTTTGCAGACAATGACGCTATAACAGGTCCCAGTTATTGGATGTAAAAATCGGCCAATAAATGCCACCAGAACTACTAGAGTATAAGGGCTGAGGACACGTACCGACAGACCCTCCCGCCCAGCAGGGCAGTTTCACCTATGGCCAATTCTGGGCGTGGTAGTTTTTTGCAATTTCGCGGCCGTGCGCAATTTTAATGCTTGACCTGTTTGGTGTCTATAACCGATGCGAGCCTCTCTTTTATATTTTACCAAACAATTGGGTAATAAATGTTTCATAACAAAAACGGAAAAATTATTTCCCCCGTTATATAGTACAAAAAATAAACCCCAGCTTTCGCCAGATCACTTCTACGGGCCGGGGGCATTTTATTCTACAAGGTCTTGGCTTTCAGAAAATGTATGTTTGGGGGTTTTAAGTATTTTTCAGGCCTAGAATGTGGTTTATAAATTGGGTGCAAAAAAACAAAAGGTCAGTCATTAACCAGTTTAACAATGAGGAATGAAAACAAACTTTTATATACTTCATTGTTGTAGCACCTGAAAAGCCCTCATCATTTTTTTATTAGTCCAACTAGAATATCTAGTGATGTGGTGCAATTACTGAAAATTAAATCTAAACTCACAGTAAATGCTGCTTTTTATCCCAAAATACAGACTGACAGCTCACCGCTCATTTCGACCACGATCTGCAAAGTAGATGACACAAATGGCAGCTCTGTCACTGCCCCAGCACTTTTCAGACAAGCAGGAGGCACTAGAATTGGATGGGTAGCCTGGCTTTGTGGAGAGAGTGCAAAGACCCTGAGAAAAGAGGTCAAACAAGTGGTGGTGTCCTTTGCAGAGCATGGTCAGGAAAGAAGAGAACTGGGCCTCTCTCAGTAGCGTTCCCATACAAAAGCATGGGATAAAAAGCAACATACACTGGTAGTTCGGTGACTGATCCGAAAACTAGCTATGGTCAAAAAGCCAACTAATGACAGTCCTTTAACTGAACACAAGGCAGCATTCCATATGTGGAATACTGATATACAATAGATAGACTAATCTTTGGTAATGTCTAAGACAGATGCTGCTCTAAGCGATAAATAAAATACGGATGTCTTCAGAAAGTCATAATCAACACAGTAGGTCATCTGTGTGGTGCATGAACTAGTCATCTTCAGACATTCAATCATCTCCATTGATGAGGTGGAAGGATAGGTTAATAGACTTACCTGGAGAGTAGCACAGAGAAGCGACTGCAGATCGTTGAATTGTATCCTGTCTGATGTGCTCTGTATATGAGACTAGAAGGGAGATAAGAGGTAGAATACATAGTTAGGTTGGAGGGTGTGGAGAAACAAAGTCTTAAGTTCAACCCATAGGAGAACAAATGCTTAGTTACCCACAGTTCATACAGAGGAAGGCAAAAACCCCTATAAGGCAAGCTTCTATTTGCTCCAACAGGGGCAACAGTTATCCCACAAGGCAATTGGATATTCCCTGAATTAACAATCTGTTTTTTATATCTATAAAAACATCTAGTACTATTCTGTTCCATTTAAGAACGCATCCACATTTTAACAAAAGTTACCTGAGCTAGCTAAGAACATGTTTCAAGCTTTCAGCAGTTACCACTCCTACCTCCATCTGTAGCACTTGCTGTAGTCTCTCCATTATCACTAGTGTGGTTTTCTGAACAGCAGGGTAGCAGTCCTTGGCACTATTTTTGACTATTTCCATTAGAGCTTCATAGGCAGCACTTCGTAGATTGTTCTGGTGTCCATCGGGCCTGAAAAGAGGGTAAATATAGCTGTTCAACTGCTTTTATAACCTGCCACCAACACTAAGGTGGCTACATGACAGCAACTGCTCAGGTTGTCTTCAGAAAGTCACAATCAACACAGTGGATTCTGTGTGGTGCATGAACAAGTCATCACAAGACAACTAGTTCTTCAAAAAAATAAACAGAAGCCATTCGAAAAGGAAGAAGTATGAAATTAAAGCTTTCCACTACTACATTTGTCCTAAGTTTCACAAGACTAATACTTGTGGCAGACTGCTCACCTGTCAGTGGTCTCCAGAAGCTTCTGCACAATGACCTCAAAGGAGCTGGACAAGCAGTAGGAAGCTGGTTCCTCCTGGTCATCAGTCACATCAGCAGCTTCATAAGCAGCTTCAGCCAAACTGGTGAAGGCCTTAAAACACAAGAGCAGCAAAATGAGAATAACACTGGAGTTGATGCTAAAAGCCATTAGTCAAGTGCCTTGGTTTCTATAACATTTAAACCACTACCACAGAAGATACACTTACCCAGCACACGTTAGTAGCCACCCTGGGTTCAGCCCCCAGCCCCTCAATGAGGCACTGCAGTAAAGGAACGAGGTAAACATCATTGATCGCTGCCTCAGGGAGCAGCTCGCATATCCGGCCAACAGTCCAGGCAGTAGTGTCCCTCACCACAACACTGGGGTCTTTCATTAGCTCTATAAGGGTGGGCATAGCCTACAAGAGACCATAAGCAAAGTTAGCTTTTTAGTTTAACCACTGCATCAGTAGAATGTTACATGGGATACAAAAAAAAAATAGGCCGAGCTGTCACTCACGCAGCAGGGTGGAACTAGACAGATTGTCAGGATCCGTTCCGGCTGCAGCATGGTCAGTATATCGCGGGCAGTAGCCCACTATACACAGCTTTGGGTCGCAGGAGGTTAGTATATGTACTCCCATGACCCTAAAGAGAACTATGGGGGAAACACTTACCCCATAGTTCTCTTAAGTCATAAATGGCATGAATAGTTTGTGGTTAAAGATGAGGGCAAGAATGACAGCCAGGCAATTTAGCATTAACACTGTTTCTTGGGAAAGGATTCCTTAAAAAGAAAACATGCCTCAAGTATAAAACTAGGGCTGCCACCATTTACACTTTTAAAAACACTAGTTTTTGGTTATGTGGGTAAAAAAAAAAACCCTCAGAGTGCTAACTGCAAACCCACTTTCACCTTTCAAAGGAAACCTCTTATGAAACAGCCAGGTCAAAAGAAAAAAAAAAAGCCGGTGTTTTATTTCTAGTCTGCAAAGCTTAAATGACATGATATAAAAGTTGATTCCCAAATGTTATGCCTAATACAACAGTCTACTTGCCCCTGTAAACCAACCAACCAAAACCATCAGTATAAAAAGAAACAAGTTTGCCTGAACCCATTTAACTTTTCAGGTACTTGCACAATGCAATGTTTTTTAGAATGTCTTCAGAAAGTCATAATCAACACAGAATATTCTGCGTGGTGCATGAACTTATCATCCTTAGACACAGCATGCAATCTAGACAGTATAGGGAGGAGTTTCACCTGTATGACTAGAGGTTTCAGCTGGCTGGCTTCAGGCCCCTCCAGGATACATCCAAATGCCATGACTGCAGCATCCCTGTATCGCCAATCTGGGTTCTTAATGTGCTCTTTGATGAATGGCAGCACATGGGGCACAATATCATCCTCGCAACACGTGGCAAGTAGCATGAGGCATACACCAGCAGCCTTACAAGGATTCCAGTCATCGTCATCATCATTCTCATCCTGGAAGGAGAAAGGAACACAAGTTAAAATGAACGGGGAGCCTGATTTTACACTGTTCCGTGTAAGCTTTCAGTAAACTATAAGCTTCACTGCTTTCATGTTTTCAGAATGGCATCTCTACCAACCTGTTTTGTCAAGGTCTGTGTCAGAATGGGGACCAGGTATTGCAAAGCCCCCTTAGCATAGAATTTGCTGGTGTGTTCTGGAGGTCTTCCCTGTTCTGCTGCCTGTAAAGAGAAAAACTGTTTACATGTTAAGACCCACTAATATGGGGGGTGGGGGTGCTTAGGTCATGACTACCAGGCAATTCTAGAAATCGTGCCAAAAATCCTGCTGCCTGCAGACGCCTTCAGCAAACAATCAGATTCTGTGCAGTATCAGATTTGCAATCCTGAGACAATACAGGTGAGAAAAATCTTGTTGTTGGTTGAAATAAAAATGGATTTCAATCAGTTGCGAGAAGTGATAATTAGTAAAGCGTTAGACTTACAACTGGGCATTGCAGCAATGCTACCTATAGAGGAACCTAGTACAAGTGTAAAATGTCTTCTGTAACAGAATACTACTAAAAAAAGGTCCCAACAGCAAGTCAATGAACCACTTGAGTTTAAGGCACTGCTTTAAGGCACTAGAGCTGGAATTGCTTGCAGTCCGTGACAGTTGGGGTCCAGCACTCAGCTCAGGAGCTGAAACCATCAGCTCCAGCGGTTCAGATGATGCCAAAAGGAGCACAATTTTAAAAAGGGATTGTAAACACAATGACGAGGTGTTGTTTACATCAGGACTGAATCTATGTCACAGCACTTCCTGCCGGTATAGAAGCTCAGGGAGAGCTGATACAGGTCTGTCAAGCCTCTCCTTACAACAGCAGACCACTGCTATAGTGATCTCCTGCTGGCAGATGGCAATAGACCACTACTAGAATTGATCTGCTGCTGCACAGCAGCATGGGGGAAAAGGAGGGTGTTTGGATTGGTTCTCCAGTGACCAGATTGATCAGCCATGGAGAAAGAAAATGTACTTAGAATGTTTATCAATCGCAAACCAGCAAAAAGTACTTAGTGCCAACTGTTGCCTTAGTCAAGACAACTTTATTTTACACTAACAATTGACACAATTTACCATTAGAAACAAAAGGAGGAAAAAACAAAAACAAAAAAAACCACCACACACTAACTCATCCACACTATCCAAAAAAAAAAAAAAAAGGAGTTTGGCTTAAAGTTCACTTTTGGCATAAGGCACTACTAACTGTAATGTAACCCACATTACCTCAGATGCTTCAATTGCCAGGTCCATTTCCTCATCACAAACATTGGACCAGAACTCAATTCCCTGCAGAGCGACTTCATCAATTTCATTCTTCATTGCCTCCACAGTGATCTGCAGAATACAGGAGGTGTTACACAACACTCTTCAGACTAAAGTAAAACCTGGTTATGATTCTATACTCACGGCAAACAGTGCAGGGCCCATGTAGGTTTCCATATATTGATAGTACAAGGACATGATCTTCACCAGGTTTTGTAATGCAGCCACTCGCACCTACAAAAGATTACACATGAATAACCGACTAACCAATAAAAATATAGCATCTACAAGGATGTTGGTACCCACAAAACTCACCCTAGTATCAGGGCACTGTGTTGCTTCACAGACCACTTGCATTATATAGTGTCTTTCAGCCTTGAAGGGGAAAAAAAAAAATATATAAAAATGTAATTATCACACATTGGGCTCAGTTTACAAAGCAGTGTTTCTCGTGCTCAGCTGTTATTTACTTTGATACCACCCCTTTAGCTCAGATTTGTTAAATCTCAATTCACAAAAGATACATAACAGCTTTAGCCCCTCCTTTAGTTACTGGTATTTTACAGCTACTAGTGCCATTATATCACTGATTTTGGTCTAAAGAGCTGATAAAATTATTGTATTGTAAAAGCCAATTCACAAAGATGACCACAAATCATCACCCCTTAAAATGGGGAAAGGAGAGGAGGCCGGAAATCCTGTTTACCTCAGTTTATTTACCTGATGGCCAGTCTCTTGCAGCTGCCCCTCAGTTACTAGCTTGTTCTACACGTAATCTAATCAGAGAAGTACACCACCAGTGCTTAATTTTCCATTGGCCATAGTAAATGTACTGTACTGTGAATTCTAGTTTGGTTATCATGCCACTAGAGTGCTTAAAAGACACTTTCCTTGACATTGCGAGATAGTAGGAGCATGGATGTGAGCAATCTATTGCAAGAGACTTGGCGCCAGAAGATGGGTACCAGATAGGATTTATCTATAGAGAGGGGCTTGGCAAAGTTCTGCTGCAGACTGTGTTCCTAGGGATCAGAGTCTCTGGGCACAAAAAAGATGCAAAAGGTACAAGAAAGGACCTTTTGTTAGACATGGATTAAGAGACAGGTTCGCTTTTAACTATAGTCTATTAACTAGAGTAGCTCTTTCACAATTTCCACAAGACATTTCCACAAGTTATATTCTACTACTCTCATAAGCATGAAATTTCAAGTCCAAACTAAAGTGCTGACGAACCAGTTACTTCAGCAGTTAAATTAGGAAAATTACAAAACATGCAGCAGATTTTTGCCCCGTTAAATCCAGCAGACTGTTTTAGTGCAAAGAACAATAGCCAGTTCAAGCATCACAACTATCTGCTGCAAGCTCAGCAATTCCACAAATTCTCCATAGCGCATCCATAGCTCTGACCTCCCCTAGCAGAATGGCTGATGTCCCAGGTAATATACAAACATTTTTTTTCCCTCTCACCTCTTTGTCAAAGTTAGATTTTGTGAACTCCAGAGAGTTGAGAAGAGCATTTGTTGCTGCTAGTCTGACATTGTTGCTTGGCTCCTCTTTTCTCATACCCTGGATGATAGCAGTCAGGATTTCATTGGATTTGTGTTGCAGTTGTTCTGGATCCTAAACCACATAAGGAAAGAATCAAACACTATTAGCGTCACCAAAATTGTCGACAGCCCACACCGTAAAAAGGACTTTAACTCAGATTGTATGTACTTGCCATACAACTACCAGTCATTCCACAGTGAAAAACTTGATCTAGCAAGTAAAACTAGTTGAAACTGATGTAAGCAAAACAGTTACTGCCCTCCGAGATCTCCATCTGTTTGTATTGCATTTAACAAGTAGGGTTAAATTTAGGGTGGAGGGTTTGAGGACAATGACCCAACATAATGCTTTTGCATTGTGGGAGGAACTCACACAGGCAGAACAAAACTGCCAACCACTTAAGTCAATTTAAAGCCGGCCATACACCTCTAGATTATCTGCAGATTTTCTGTGGTCAGATGGAAAAAGTGCAACAGACTCCTCCATCTACGCAACACTGTGTGGCTGGAGGAATCTCCCACTGGGCCAAGCTTCAGTATCTGGCTAGCCAGCCCCGCTGGCTATCACAATACCGGAACAATGCCTGCAGCCAGATTGTTCAGATAATTTGAGACCCAGCGGGGCCAACAAGCAAGATACTGAAGCTTGGCCCAGCGGTAGATTTGTACATCCACGCAGTTTAGCGTAGATGGAGGAATCTGTTGCACTTTTTCCATCTAGCCATAGGAAATCTGCAGGTAATCTATAGGTGTATTGCCAGCTTCAGAGTTGCTGATCCGGAACAAGCTTGCAAATCAGAGTAGGTTCTGTTTTAAGTTAGAAGTCCATGTGTTTACTCCTCACCACCGGTGAGGTTTTTCCAAATACCAAGTTGAACCCATGTTCTCAACCCATATGTAACATCCACAACATTTTCCAATAGTAGGGCTGCAACCAACTAATCGATTAAGCGATAATTATCGATGAGAATAGATGTCAACTATTGGCATCGATTAGTTGGTTGGATACCCTAGCTCTCTCCTCCATGCTGGGAGGAGGGCACAGCAAGCAGTGGGTGGGTGCAATAGCCAGCCTGCTATTGGAATTTGAAATGGCCAATAGCAGGCTGGTCATTGCACCCGCCCACTACCTGCTGTATTTACATTCTGCTGCAGTCTGCAGAATCTTGCCACTGGCAGCTGTCATTTCTTGGCTGAAGCTATTCAAGCGCCATATGTTCACAATAAATCATTAAAAAAAAAATTGGGCCTGACAAATTCTGCTGTGGGAGGTGCATTGCAGTGCCATTCATTTCAATGGCACCCGAAATGCACCTACCACCCAGTGTGATTGCCCGCACAGTACTGCAATGCCGTGCATTCCAGTGCAGTTTGATTGCAAAAAATAGTGCCTGCAGTTTTATCCTGGGTGGCATTTAATTTTGTTTTATCATCTGGAAAAAATTTTAAAAAATCGGCCAACTAATCGATTATGTTTTTTAGTTGCGACCCTAGCCAATACGCAACTTTATTACCACACTATCCGTTTCTGTATAAAAGATCCCATAAAGAGCCTTCTAGGAATGTGACAAACGCACATTCATCATCTTTTCATTTCTAATACCTTTAAATACAGCTCTTTTAAAATGGCTTGCTGCTGTGACACTGTTGTATCTGCAGCACCTTCAGGGGTATGTATTGAAGCCATTTTCTCCTACACATTGCAGAGCTCAGACCCCATATTATAGCCCACTTGTAGAGCGTGAAGAAAATCACAGCGACCACCATTTTGCCTGAAATGTCAAGCTGTAATATCAGTAACCAGCAAATAAAGATAAGAGCGCCTCTTCAGATTACTTTAGACCGGGTTCAATTCTGGCAAGAATTCTGTACAGTGAATAAAGCCCAAGGATCCAGGGAAGAGATTTTCCCACTGGTATCAGCAGAAATATAAGTAGTATTTACTAATTAGACACAGTTTAAGATATTTCAGAATATCTTAAATTCCATAAGAAAGGAATTAAAAAATAAAAATAAAATACAAAATATACATTCATCAGAATATAGCAAATACCTCTAGGAAGCCTGCTTTAAATGAGAACTATGGGGTTATGGCTTTTTCCCCCCATCATTCTCCTAATGGTAACGGGAGGACACAAACTAGCGTCCTCCCGTCACCCAAAGCTCAGTATACCGCGAGCTGTGAGATGCCGCAGCCGGAACGGATCACGACAATTCTGTCTGGATCCACCCAGCTGAGTGACAGCTGGCTCTGCCTATCTAGAGGCAAAGCAAGCTGTACCCGCCCCCTCCCCAAGTCAGCACTGGAGGATCGGATAGGGGAGGGGGGAATCCAGCCACTCGTCACAGGATCGAGAAGTGAGCGAGCGCCAGTATGTGTTTGCTCACTTCACAATCTACTGAGCCGACCTGTGACAGTCTCATTGTCACAGGTCAGCTAGAACTATGAGGCGGAGTGAAAATCACTCACCTCATAGTTCTCCTTTAAAAGAAAAAAGAAAAGAAAAAATTAAACTTACAATGTCCTGGCATATATATCCAATTGCTTCCAGCGTAGATTCTTTCATATGCTCTGTACTGTTTGGGTCTGTCACATTAGCAACAAGCTGTGGTATTAGCTGCGGCCATTGGTTGACTGTTATTTCAGCACAAGCTATCCCCGCCACACACTGTGATGCTGAACTGGGTCTGTAGCTTTCTGTTCCCAGTGTACGCAGAACCTGCAGAGAAGAGAAGATACATGTCACTTAACAGCAATCATTTCAATTGCTTTCTTTGATTGGAATACTCAGAACTTACCAAAGCTTTAATTTCTCCCCGAACATTGGAATCAATTGCCAGCCACCGCTGTTGATACTGTGCCTTCAAATCTGGGTCTTTTGAGGTCAAAGAGTTCTTTATCTGTAAACCGGAAGCAACTCTTGCAACCTGACTGTTTGCAGGATTGGCCAGCACTTTTGAGAGCTCCAAAAGGAAGATTGACAAACTATTGGGGCAAATTGTCCATGAAAAATAAATGGAACAAGGCCCATCCTTGCTTGGCAACATGTTCTGGTGTGTTTTGGGGTTTATAAACAGATGGATTAAGCATTTTAACGGAAACCCAAAACAAATAGGGACCACACAAAACAGGTTGCCCATGATCCCAAGTTTTAAAACTGTAGTGTGTATGACAGCTCTAATACCCATGGAGACAAATGGAGGCTGTTAAAACATGTATTGACATGTCACTGCTGTGAACTGGAGCGTACCCCAAATTTCATAATTTGGAGGTTCCCTATGGCACCTGCATTTTATTATGTAGGCTAACCAACCAATCTCCACCACAAGGAAGTTTCTTGAATCAGCCTAAGTCGACCCAGCATCACCACTCTGGGAAGCTGTTAAAACTAGCGCTAAATCCAACTGCTTCAATAAAGCATAACCACAAATGATTCATTTTTTTTATTTTTTTTTTAGAGTAGGAGAGGCTGTGGGACAAGAAATTTTCCAAAAAATGTTTACCACTTGATCTTCTGTATGCCTTTTATTGCTGTGAACATGTAGCATACTGCTGTCTGAACCAAAATACTAGAGCCATTTTGTCTGGGTCATGTCCAATGCAACAGGAAGACAATTTTCAGTGTATTCACAGATCACAAAACCACTGCAATTAACAGCAGACAGTGTGAAAAGTTTTAGTCACCATATTGCGGTGTTAAAGAATTGCTCTATACTGCACATTCCAAACAAGGACATTGTCCTTCGCCGTAATACTTTGGCAGCAGCCAAAAGCACCAGCCAACCAGCATAAGCTCTGGTTTGACAGCCCTACCCCCAATTAGTAATATGCACCAGTAATTATAATCCCAGGCAGCACAGGATGTTAACCTTCGTCCAAATATGCCAATATATTGAAAGAATTCCCAAGGACATTGCTGCTGGAGTTAATACTTTTGATCTTTCCAAAGATCGTTGCTGTTGCAAAAAAAAAAAAAAGGTAGAGGGAAAGAAAGGACTGGTAACCAGTACTGCCTGTAGGCTTCCTGCTGCTGATGTTCTCTGTATGCAGCCATCTTGAAAGAGACAGAACTTTGCTTTCTCATGTCAGAGCCTCCAGCAAAGAGAACAGTGAGCAGCACAGTAGTGACATCACCAAATCTCCTAAAAAACTAGCACTAAGAGGCAATCATTGAAAACCATGGGTTGCATCAATAAAATTATGGATAGCAGGCAATTGTGCCCTTCTCCCAATACATGCCAACACAGATCTCAAGTCTGTAGCCCTTTCCCACTAAGCCTGCCTACCCTCAAAACCCAGGAAAATAGTGCCGAACTTGGGCTCTTCTAATCTTCTCCCTTTGCAGCAAGCTGTTCAACCACCTCACCTCAAAATCACTAGCCTTCCATTTTCTGCAGGAATCTTGCTCACAATTTCCCATGGTTTGTGCATGCAGATGTTGCAAAACAATCCCAGGAAGAGAATTTTACATTAACCCTGAACCTTGCTTGTCTTTATTCTACTCCAACTCCAAAAATGATCCAGTTGCTATGAAAAGATTTGACCCTAAAGCAACCAGTGGAAAGAAAAAACAACAAATTGATACCTTCTCAGAAATCAGTGTCAAATCTTAAGCTGGCCATATACTAGTAGATTTGATAATTAACTTTCATACGAAAGATCTTTGGTTTGACTTTAATAGTTGACTGGGTCAAATCAACGATTGACGTAGTGGGGGAAAAAAAAGTCGAAGCAGCAGGATATCGTTTTTCCCAAATTAACGCAACTAGAACAGTGAATGTGGTTTTTGTTATGGGACAATTCCAAAATCGAATGTTAGAATCAAACAATTCCGTTCGACATTCGTCAAGTGTCTGATGGCATTACCGTTCAGAATCTAGTGAATAGCCCGCTTTAGTCATCTTCTTCCACAGTAGGAGACACTGCTATCTGATAGCATGTCCCCCGCCGGCTGCTAGATCACCAATTTATTCCGAAGTGATGCATTACCTGGTGGGAGGAACCACAGCATCCAGCAGGGAACAAGTTATCCAACACACAGATAGCAGCAGTGCCTTTATGCGTGGAAGAGAACAAAGATTTCCCCTCATCCAGTAAAGTATGCAACTTCTTCCTTTAGAGTGTACAGCGGCCTCAAATCTCATAATCGAAAAGGGGTCACTACTATACAAAGCCATTTATACTTCAACCAGCTGGACTTCCCCTTTGTCTGCTAAGGGTTTTCAGAAATAACCAACTCATCACAGAATAAAAGGTGGCCATGGACAGTAGAGATCTG